TCTCAAGAGTTCCAGGAAATCTCTCATCTCTCACTAAAAGGGTGAATTACATGATCACACTGCCTAGAAACTCTCTCCCCTCCTCCATCCAGGAGGCTAGGTTTCAGGAACTCCCACCCTTATTTACAGCTTCCCTCTCAGCCTGAGAGGTTATGCAACTGATTCTCTAAGAGTGGATCAAGGAATATGGGGTCCAACTCTTGGGTTATATGGGTATGAGAGTACATGCAACTGCCATGTGCCTCTGCCTAAGGCAGCCATTATTGACTAAAGGGGGAAAGTTCCCCATGCCCAGGACACAGGTCCATTCTTAGCCTTGCTGCACTCTGGTCTGTCCTCCAAAAAGAAAAAAGGGAGAAAGACCAAAGGGAGAAAAAAGGCTAGAGTCTTCAAAGATTCCCTTTTTAGGCAGCTTCAGAACAGTGATCAGTACAGTAGCCAAACATGACAGTGAAACATATCTCCCACTTCTCATCCAAGAGATGGCATACTGTTGGTGTGGAATAAGGCATATATTGTCAAGCATGGGCAAATGTTAACTTATATTGCTCAACTGTACTTTGTAACCAGCAAGATTTATATAAGAAGGAGATAGAGGGAGTATCATGGAGAACTGATGGCAATATTTTAAAAAGAGCATAAGTAATTTTTAAAAGAAAAAACATCTTAAAAGACTCTCTTTTATAAGTCAGTTAAAGGGGGTGTCTCCTCCCATGATGATCTGTCCCACAAAAGGCCAAGCCAACCAATATATCTAATCACTGAGACACACCTCTCCTAGAGGCACCAAGAAGCATGCTTATTCTCACCATAGGAAGGTACAATCAAAAGTTCAAAAGACTCACCTCACTGTATATTCATCAAGTTAAGCAAGGAAATCTCTTGATGAATCTCCTACACCTGTTAAATAATATCTTGCTAGATTTTATCAATTATTCTAATCTATCAAGATATTTTGGGATTCCAATTCTGTCATCCACAATGTAATAGCTATCCCTCCCAGGTTCATGCCATCCACAAATTGGATAAGCATATCTTCTACATGTCCTCACTTCAAGTCTTTGAGAAACATGTTGAAGAGAATAAGGCCAAGGACACAGCTCTGAGTCACACAAAAGAAACCTTCAAGAATGACATCAATCTATTAATCAACATTCATTGGGTATAACTGGTTATTCAATCATTGATAGATTCACCTGATTGTATTATTATCCAACCCACATTTCTCCATCTTGTTTTCAAAAATATTTTTGCCAATAGTTTCACTACAACACAACTATGCTGTTTCTATAGCTTTTCCTTCAAATGTCAGTGCAATCACTCTATCAAAAAAGCAAAGTGGATTAATATGGCATAACTTTTTCATGAAAATATAGTGGAACCTAATGATCACTGCTTCCTTTGAAAGGCAAGTTTTTGTATAGGAATCCTACAGGAGTATCATCACTAGAAGAACAAATTCAAGGGTTAAAGGTCAATCAAAGCAGTGGGACCCCTGACCAAGATGGACTTTGTCCATGCATTAAATCCATTGTCAGATAATCCAGAGATGGAAGGAAGCAGAATCGGGGGAGGGGGAAAAATCTGGTCATAACAGATACTGAAAAAAAAAAAGCTGAATTTCCTAGTTAGTAATAGAAGCTGCAGGAAGTATGGTACACTGGAAAGAGCTATGGTTTTGGAGTCAGAAAATTTGTATTCAAATCCTGACTTTACTACTTTATGACCTATGTGACCTTAAGCAAACCAGTTCACATCTCTGGCTTCAGTTTTCTCAACTGCAAAATGAGAGGGTCAGACTGGTTGACTCCTAAGATCCATAATAACTCTAAATCAATCCTTTGGATCCTATGATTCAAAGGAGTTAACTAAAAATTCAATTCAATTCAACAAGCTTTTATTAAGTAGGTACTATGTGACAGACACTGTTCTAGGCAATAGGATTACAAAGTTAAAGGTAAAATAGCCCTTGTCCCCCAGAAGCTTACATTTTACTGTTACAGATACAGCAGCTGGAAGAGGAGGAGAAGGAAGAGAAGGAGAAGGAAGAAGAGGAGGAGGAGGAGGAGGAGGAGGAGGAGAAAGAAGAAGAAGAAGAAGAAGAAGAAGAAGAAGAAGAAGAAGAAGAAGAAGAAGAAGAAGAAGAAGAAGA